GATATGACCATAGAAATACTACATACACACACTGGAGCAATTAACATAGAACAGGATTAAAAACAGCAAGGAAAAATAAACTTTATTGTCTTGTTGGAATGTTTGGTTAACAAAAAAGCTGCTTTCCCGTGAAAAAAAAGGGTATAATAACATCCCAGCACACACAGTTGAATAAGCGATTTAGAAAAAGTCTCAAGGCTGAAAAAGGTGAAAAGTAGAAAAACAAAAGCAGATGTGAAATATTGCTGTTCTTGGATTGATGTGTAGCAACGCTTGCTGTAGTTTCATCCAAATTAACTCCCTTCCCTCACCCAGATCCAGAGGATTGCTAAATGTAGTGGTGTCTTTACCCAACAGTGTGTGATGAGGAATGAAGGTGCTTATCAAGGGCTGTCTTTTCAGTTTCTCTGTTGCTGTTTAAGAACTCGTTATCTATATATTTCTCCTTCCTTGGAATTCATGAGTTCATGTGTTTTTATCTGACAAATTGACATTATTCCTGTTGGTTCAAAGTGTAAGATATCACTGATGTGACCTATCAAGACGTATTCATGAGATAAATATAGGTGAGATGAATATGGAGCGCTCGATCGTAGAAATCTGTTTTTCTTTTTATTACTGATGTTGAATCTGAATTTGAGCATACACTGAAATAAAAGGAAACACTTTTTGATGTGGCTGTTTACACAAACCACAGCATTGTGGCATCTAATAAACCTCCATCAATATATCCAGTTATCTTCCATGAGTAAAAAGAAAAGCATTTGTCCAGTTAAATGGAGAGGTCCCTTCTAACCTGTTTGTACAGTGGAGAAAAAATAATATATCGTGCTGAAATACAGAGAAAAAAGTTGTATTAGACACCCAAATAGTTCTTAAGTACACTACTTTAACAATAATAACTTTAACCGATGAAGTTGAAAGTCTTTGGGGGAAAAAATAAAGCTTGAATGAAACCATTTCTTACACTGCCACTTATCAGCCACTAGAATATAGGGAACTCAGAGTTCTACTCTCCAAAGTATTTCCTTACAGAACGTGTCAGTCACGCCTCATTTACCGAGATGTGCTTCTGTGGCATTTCATTAGAAACCATTCACAAACAGGGACAGAATGCGTGAGCCTGTGACAGTTCTACTCTGCTTCCAGGACTGAGCGCGTTCCTGCGAGGACAGAGGATGTGAACCCTGATGGGCTGGAAGTAGCTAGAAAGAACAGTCTTTCCTTTTCACCAGGGACCCACACCAGGAGATTTCCCACGCTTGCAGCATCATGCTGCTGCTGTCACAGCCCCTCACTCTTATCTGCATGTTCTCGCCCACTCATCCTATGTCGTTACCACTAAACTTCCTGACCTTTCCTCACTCCTTCGCTCACATTCATTTCTTTTAGTTTTATTTTTTTTTAAAGAAAGTATAATAGAGAAAGCGTTGGTTTCCTTTTGACAAATTGATGAGAGCAAAGAAAAGGTATCTCATCCAAACTCTTACTTTTGAGTCTTTTTGCTAAAAGCCAAAGCATGACATATCTAATGGTCTGTGAATTCTCAGGACAAGCAACTGATGATAATTGCACAATCGGGTGTTGCAGGTGGCACAAAATCAACCTGTTATTTGGGATGTTTTAATTGAACTATTAGGGAGAAGGGATAATTTTACAAACTTTAAAAGTTTGTGTTGTTATGAGAGGGAAATAGTATGAGAGGAAGAGGAGAAAACTCCTTGGAGGTCCTGGCCACACAGAGGTACGTATGCACAGCACATGTCTGGCCTTCAGGGAGACAACCAAGAATGTGCACACTGTGTCATCTACTCCAGATCTGCTCTTGTCTTTATGACCACCGAGGGGGTTGTGCAGAATCCATGAGATCAGAATGGCTTTATGAAAATGATCATGGCTGGCGTAAGGGCGGACATCAGCCTGCAACAGAGCTGTAGAACATCATGCGTCTTTAATGTCTGCCTTTTTTCTTCACACACACATCATTGGTATCTCCTTGATCCTGTTAGATAAATGAATTAAATAAAATATCATTAAAATTCTGTACATTTTAGCACAGTAAATATATGATTTTATATTGATATATTTTCAGATAGTTAGTCATTTTTACTCTCTGGTGCACTTCCACTCAATGTGTGACGTTATATGGTTATAACCATATTCCAAATGGTAGATGTGCTCTTCACATGCTGCTAAAGATCTCTGATATGAGTTTAGCGCTAAGGGGGACACCTGAGACACAAGTTGTTTTCACAGGCTTTTTGTTAGTACCAGGATCCAGGCTTCACCAGAACAACTTTGCATCGGATGAAGATGAGAAGTGATGTTTTCTATCTCTTTCAGTGGTCAAAATGTTATGGATTGTCAGAGAGGGACCAGGATTTATCCACAGCTATTTACTGCCCTCTAATGCTAACCTACTTTACGGAAGTAGGTCCCTCTCCAGTACTGGTAGACATGCTAAGTGGAAAATGTCATCTTCTTGATATCCCATGTTTGGGCAATTTTCTTCATTATGAGACACATTTTTATGGTAAAAATAATTGTGGAAAGTGTTTTTACACAGATAAAAACAACTATTTAAAACAATAATTTTTTGGCTCTTTACTCTTGTACTGATATTAACTATCATAAATACAGATCACATAACCCAGTGTAGATATAACACAACAACTCCATTGTTTTGTTTAAGGGATCCAAAAGGAAAGCAAATTGTATGGTAAAATGACAGTTTTCATTTGAATCACCCTCTGCAGAGCAGATAAAAATACATGAACATTTGATCTGAAAAAAGAGGTGCATCAACATTTAAATATTGATAATGATATCAATATCAATATTTAAAGAGGAAGTGTGGGAGCATTTATCATGGGTTTTTAATAACCACCCAAACCACTGGAGGGCAGTATGCTATCACTATTAGATACAGGAGATGCTACTGGTCCAGTCCAAAAGCTACAGGCCTTTACAAGTAATGCTGTGTCCTGTATCACACAAAAAGCAAGGTTAGCTGCTTTTAACACAACACACCGGTGTTATTCCTGTTGATCCAATGACACGGAAACATAGACAAGAATGGAAATGATGCAGAAATGACTATTTCAGACGCTGATCATAAAAATCCTGTCACCAAAGTATAATTTTGTGTCAGTATTTGCCTCGTGGAGGAGCTGGGTCAGCTGAGTGTTGGGTTAGAGCACAAATAGAGAGTTCCTATTTATAGGAACACAGAACATGTAACAAAAGATTAAAGGTGCTGTTGTGCTGCTTTGGCTGTGGGCTTCACAGCATTAGGATTAACTTTGGAATTTCGATAATGTCTGTATTGTTAGGAAACATCAATCCATCACTTATTCATTTGGTGTTTAAATGACATTTTAATATTAATTGACTAAGTGTCTGACCAAATCTGGCTGAAACTGGTAAAAGCCCAGTTCTGTATCACCCTGCAACCAAAGAAAAAGATTCTACTCCCAAACTGCCATGCTGGAGGGTTATTTTTAGCAGAAAAGAGATCAAATAACATCTGCTCACATCGGATTTATGGTTGGTTTGAGGTTTAGTCTTTCTTAAAAGCAATCAGATGCTTCAGGCAAAAAATGTACCCTGAATAGGGTCAGTGAAAGAAAAATCAGGAAAATCTGAAAAACATTGCCCGAAAATCACAGTGAGGTAAACATAAAAGTACAGTGACTGTCTCACATCTTTGGTAAGCACCAAAGAGAAACCCAAAGTCCTCCCCGCACACAGAAAGAAATCAATTCAAAGTTTTCTTTTGCAGTTGCATATTTCAACCAGGAAAAGACAGGCAGACTGCACCCTTGACAAGCTGACAGTCCAACAGGGTTTTATGTGCATGCAAAAGTCTTTAACACAGGGTAGGCTACATCTGTTGTCTAACAAGGACGAGTTTTCCCCTATTGTCGTCTCAATCTGCAGTTAACAATATATTTAGTTGTCAAATAATGCTCCTACTCCTTTTAGCTTGTTTATCAAGCGGCATGTTTGATGCTCTTTTGTTGAATAGAATTTTGATCAAACTTTCATATGTTATCATTAGTAAATCTTTAACTACCTCTGCCCGTAGCCAGAATCACTGATGGGCAGCACAGTGTGTAGATATAGATACAAATGTCACATTGTTACTATGGAGAAGAGGCAGTATTGTGAATATACATATGGATCAGGGCTGCGGACCAGCTGTTGTCCACCTAATAATGGCTCCACTCTACATTGATGACATCTGAATACACAAACTTGACATTCAGACACATTTTGTGCTCCTCCTGTGGTTGAGATACATGCTAGTATAGCAGTCATGATGTTAATAGATTACATTTTAATGAGAGCAAATTACATAACCATTGTTGCTGTTGTAATTATAAGCATTATCATGTAACTGCAGGCTTTGGAGAGTACTGTATTATCCCTTAGCAATGTGCTGCGTCTACTTGTTTGGTTGGCTAGCAGCAGCAGTTGTGCTTTAGGTTGGTAGCAACTTCCCTGCAATTTATTATCAGATATTGATGACAGGTGCAAACAGTCTCTAAGGTAATGAGAAAGTTTTACAGCTCTACCTATTACGCTATTGCTGTCACATCAACTCCAGTGCTTCCTGTTTGCTAGAGAGCCCTCTGACTGCAGCTCAGAGCAGGAGGGTGGCATTGTCTGTGTGCTTTATGACACATGTTGGGTCCGTTTCCAAAGTGAACAACGGTTTTGCACGACACCATCAACAGAATGACTCATAAAAGCTGACAAATGCTGTTTGTCAATGTCTTTTGTAGAATTAATAACACGAAAGGTTACACAAGGTTTGTATTTGATGTTTCATCTATGTCACTAGGATAAAGGAGATTGTTCAGACAACTGTAGCCAGGCTGACCGTATCGAAACTGCTTTATCGATCAGGCTCCCGTGTTGCAATTAAATATTTAGTTCTGCTAAGCAACTCATGTTATGGTTTTCATACAAGGAGGATGACAATTTTTTTTAAAGTTTTGCATGTCCACACTTTATTTCAATTGATTTTATTCTTCGTAAAAAAGACAATCATGTACATATAGTAGAAATTATGTTGCACATTTTCATCATTGTTTGGTACAAAATGCAACAAATATTTTACAAGAAAATAAATACAAATAAATACTAGACCTCCACAGGTCTGCTTGACAAAGAAGTGCACAGCTTTCACAGGATATTTCACATCACAGAAAGTAAAAGGTTAATGGCAAGTGAAAGTGCTTTTCCACTTTTGCTCTTCTCCTTTTTGATTATCAGTCTGTTTATTTTTCTCCTGCCCCCCAAACTCGACAAGTTCTGATATGTCGGTCGACTTCATGACAGCAGCCTTTAACGTATCGCTCGCCTCTCTCGCCTTTCAGCCTCCTTTGTCTTCAAAGCGATAGCCCCTGTACGACCATGCTCTGCGGCTTTCTTCTCAGCATTCTTTGTGTCTGCACCGGTGTCGGGATTTCTTCACTTCGCAGGACTAAATGCCATGCCTTGCCAGCATTCTCAAATCTTTAGTTGACTTAGAGTCCATCTTAAGCTCATGGAGAGGTTTCACACCATTTTCTTTTGCTGTGGCAGCTTGGTGGCCTTGGTGCTTGGTTTGGCTTGGCAAACTAAATCTCTGTATGCTGGAGAGCGGAGAAAGCGAGGGTAACAATCTTTGGCCATTAGCATGTAGATCTTGTACTGGGCTTGATCAAAACAAGACGGAGAGGGATCGTCCATGTTGGCTTTGGTGATGTCGCGGGTTTCATGGTCGATATTTACCTTTAAAAAGAAGCAAAGGAGCACAAAGTTAGCCAGGCTTTCAAATAGGATTTTGAAGATGATCTTTGTCATGAGAATCTCATCTGGTGGGATTCGGTGTCTCCTTACCTCTCGAGGAGCTTCACTGCCGATGAATTCATTGTAAATCTTCTGGGCTTTCGCAGGCAGTTGGTTGGAAATCTTGGTTCTTCTGTAATCCTCACAGGCAAAATAGAACGCAATGTTCTCCTCGCTGAACTCAGATATGAGGAAGGCAGTGAAGGCACACAGTCCATCTGCAAGGAAAAAAAAAAGATAACTAATTAGGCACAGTGGGTCTAGATGTTTTGCTTTAAGTGTGCGTGAGCGTTCATATTCAATCAACTGGGAATGGAACACATTTTTGGTTTGACAACGTTCCAAAATGCACAAATATGAATGCTTACGTACATTTGCTGGACAGGAGTTTTTCAAATGACTCTTTCCACCTGAGACATTCCTCCAAGGTTGGCCTGAAAACAGAAGATGCACATTTAGCTCTAACCCACTTTTTATTAAGCACTGAGCTATAATATATTCTTCAATATAATATATAACGATATATTATGACATATTTGAAATATAATGATACTTACTTCCTTTTCCCTATTCTGCAGCAGGATGGAGTCCAGTTGGATTTTTGCAAAATGCTTCCCAGCCTTGCTTTCAGCTCTTTGGCCCTAGGAAAAAAGATCGGTGGCTTAGATACATGTATTTTCAAATGAATGGAAGGGCATGCCCACAAAACAGTCTGTGTAGATTTAAAGCCCAAAGATTAATTTCATAATAACCAAATTCAACAAACCGTCTTTCTCTCTCTCTCTCTTTCTCTCTCTTATTTTGTAAAGACTAACAAAACGATGTAAAACTGCCTCTATATCACATGCCACTAATCCAAAAAAACATCAGTCTTAATGTTCGATGTACCTTTCCAAGCAGCAGGTGGGCAGAGATGCAAGTCCTTTACACATAGCAGCTGGTTGGAGCGGGTGCTGTCTTAAGCAGGTGGTGATTAAGTATCCGTTTAGTAAAGCTCAGTTGGTAGCTGGATTGTCTGTGCCTGAACCGAGGCAGAGCTGCAGCTTTATAGTCATGCCCCCCCTCCACTGTCTGTGACGTGTCATCAGTCAAGCAAGCCAATAGAAGAGAGGCAGAGAGACCAACGGTGAGAAAAGCTCTCACACACACTCAAACACACAGAATCAGAACAAGGACAAAGCTGGGAAATTACTTGATGAGTTTCAATGTTTAGTATACAGCCTTGTGCTTAAGAAAATTCATATATTTTGACAACATATCACACCGATCTACAAGTAACACAACATTTTTAGTGTAACATATGCAAATAGGCTTGTTTAAGGTTGCTTTTGGATATATGTGCCAATAAAAAGGCATAAACCTCCTGATCCTTTCACATGCGTTGAGTTCCTTAATTCAATAAGAAGCATAATTTGGCTCAAGTGAAAAATATATCTGAATTGTTGTTATGAACTGTATCTTATGCAATTTATGTTACTTGGTAATATGGCAGACATCTTAAATTAGGACAGAGGTTGGATTTAATGACGATATTAGCCTGGACTGCATACAAAGAAATAATTATGAATATTGAATCAGATATTGAGAAATCTAACTTAACCAAAGCCGATTAATAATTTGAATAAGGTATGTTGTATAATAGTGTATCATACAAGATGTGTTGGTATAGCTAAGGCTACTGTCATGCCTCTGATATTGTAAAAGAGGGTAAACCTGAAAAAAAACTTCACTTCAGTCCCTTTGGAGTCATGTTTGACTCACTGCATTTTATTCATTACAGCCCTGTGACCATAGACCGTTGTATGTGTGCATATTCGTGTGCAAGAAACATGTCTACAATGATTTTATTACATGTTTACAATGCTTGGTGAACATCTAGCTTTCTTCATTGCCAAGTGGACAACTACCAGCGACTTTTATTCATATATGCAAATTAACTTTAAGTGACTAAATTTGAAGTGCAACATATGTCATTTGCAAAGTGGAATGTCCAGAGGTCTCTAAAATAAATTATCAAGAAAAGTGAAACAAGGTAGGCAAACAGTTCAGTGAGGGGTATTCATATATGCATGTATTGATTTTCTGGCTAAATGTAGGCACGATGACTCAAAGGAATGATGTAGCTATGATGGTGTGACCCATATCCTCACAAATCTGATCTCAAATGACTTTAGTACTATTTGTACTGAGCGCAAATAACTGGGTATAGCAGTGAACAGTGAATCAGGCATATTCCCTGCCGGTAAGTAATATACTCACAGAATGAAGTTCACAATAAAAAGCTACCAAATGAGTCATAATGCCAATTCAAAGTAATTTTAGAAGCATTAAGTAGAGTTCCTGTACAGGAGGAAACTGGAGCAAACCAGATAATCAGTTGGTCATTGTTTGGCTTAATTACACATGAAGAACAAGTGGCATAGGCATTGATCAATATTCAGAGTGAGCCCATAGCTTCTTCAGAACTCAAACATTTGCTCTGCAATGGCCCTGGCGAAGCGACCCATACCCAATAACCAGAATACTGACAAGAACAAGTTACTCTAAAGTTTTAAATCATCACTTGAAGCAGGCAGGATGCACTCAGCTGCTCCACTCCTTAAAATTTAAATGAAATATGTCACAAATCAAGCTGCAAGTTGCCTATGTAGAATTTGGCTTTCAGGTACCTTAATGTAGATTACAAGGGACACAGAAAAATATAGGGCAATCCAGGGACTGAAGAATGATCATGACTCATACATCCAACTGCTTGAATGGAAATACTTGAATGGGCAATCCCGGTGTCGGTACTTCTCAGAAAACTGTAAAAAGGCTCTGGCATATCCATTTTTAGAGGAGCATTAGTTCATAACGGAATACTCATTCTCATGTTGTTCAGTGTTTATACAAGTCTTGGTCTAATCGGTTCGAAAGCACTTCCAGTGAAAAAAAAAGAAAAGAAAAATGGAGCGAACATCTAGTTTTCAACAAAAACTAATTTGAGACGGATGTAACCCCGTTCTGTATTATTCCCTCAGAGTTACAGACATATCATAATGTTTACATCCACTATCACACATTTATTTAAATGAAAACATCTCAAGTAAACGATTAAAGTATGCTATGTTTTCACTGATGCCAGTCCTTAATTCAAAGTCCGTAAATCCTCTTAATCAGAAATCACAGTTTATAACTTTTCAAACAACTGGAATTATTCAATTCCAATGACTTCACTATAAATGAGAAAACATACATCATGAACCATGCGATCCAAACATTCAAAGACTTTTCTCAAAGAACAGAACAAGTCATTTGCACTCTTCATATGTGTTAGGTCTAAGGTTCATGAGCTTTGACGGGCCCCATTCATGTGCGAAATTCCAAAACAGAGAAGTCTATTAACTCATGTAAGAATTCCTAATAAGCAATCTGATATGTGTAAATTGTGCATTTGTTATTTTAGAGTTGCAATTTAAAAAAATAACAAAAACAAGGCCAAATGGCACTAAAAGTACAAACAGAACAGTTCAATGTTAACCACTAACCGCTACTTGCCTGTTCTAACAGTGGAAATGCTGTTTTTCACTACTTACGCAAACTTGTGACCACAGGCTTTTCAAGGAACTGAACAACAGCACAACTGTCTTACAAATTAGGATGGAAAAAGACTTAATGGGAACTTCTTACACCCTTAAAAAAGAACGCCTGATGTTACATAACTGTAACTTTGTTGAGAATGGGTTAACAGAAAAACAAAAAAAACTAGCTAGAATTTCAAACGTCTTTTTGTTGTCCTCCAATGAGGAACATTTGTTCCCTTCTGGACAACTAACTGGAAAGATCAGTTCTAGTTTAAAAAATTATGTGTGGCAGCAAATTTGGCAATTTTCTGGAAACCTCACCAGTCATATTCATTCTTACTCTTCCCAGATGTGTCCAGGACTTAGCGTGTCATTTGAAAATGATTTGAAATTACACCAAGCCTTTCACTAAATTAATGCATTTTCCCTTGGCTTCCATTGCCCCATTTGATCCCAAAAATCCTCAGGTCCTGAGGTAATGTCATGGAACTGAAGTGGATTCTGCCAAAAACATTTAGATTTTACATAATTGGTTATTTTTTTGGCTGTCCTGATTCACAATTATTTTTTGTGCCTTAATTTGATGCTTTTTCAGATGTATATTTCACAGAAAAGAGATAGAGGACACGAAGACACTGTCATAAAGCACATACTTATCAGAAGAATGACAAATACAAAACTTAAGAAATAAGAATCGTAAAAGGAAGCATAGCAAAAATCACTTAAGAGCACTCACATTATACCATGACCAGGCACCAGTGATGAGGTTGAGTCAGCTAATGTTGTTGGGATGGCTTTGGCGGGGAAAAGAGCAGCCTGGGATTATCCAACCTATCCAGATCAATTTGGCTGATTCGTTTTGGAGGATTTAAATGCACCATTTGTCATAATCTGAGAACAAAGGTTTGCCTGAGGGGGAAGTCGGCCACCCCCTCACCCTGTAAATGAATATTCTCCTATTGGTCAGATAAAGAAATCCAGAACCGAATGTGACTGTGTCACAGAAAAAAGAAAAAAGAAATAAAGAAACTTTTGTCCAATTTTAACGCCTTAGGTGTGCCATGAGAAGGTTTTTTTTTCCAACTAATTTTCCCTTTAAATGTGTGGTTGATCATATTTACCGGTGTTATACAACTGATAGGTGCAACATTTGAGACTAGGCTCTGAAAGGAAGCTTTAATGTCTAATTTCTTAGAAAGCCTCAAAGTTAAAAGAATTCTCTTCAGAGACCTTGGTTGCACAGTCTTTTGTTCTTTGATCATTCATCATCTTGTGATATTGAATTTTTTCACACTCACATATGACACTACCACAAAAAACCCTTTCACGATTTGCTGTCTGATAAAAGCAACCAGGCTTTAGTATTTTTAATACACTCCCTCTGATGTCTTTGCTTAGTTCTGGTAATTCTGAGACTACCAGTGATTTAGGACAGTTGTTTTTTCCCACTTCAGGGCATAAATATGTCTGAGGGTATTTGATGTTATAAACAAAACGAGCAGACTTAAAACTTTCCCTGTTTTGTATGTAAGTTACAGGCAAAAAATACTTTTTCTTGAGAGATTAAATGAGCTTCACCCATCCTTTTGGCCTTCCAAGCTAAAGAAAAGGGCCAACAGAATGACTATGGGTATTTTTTCTAATTAATACCTATAATTATTATACTGTCTTATGTTTTTAAGTCAATTTAACATTGGGATGAGATCGAATGTAACTCCTTTTCCATTATATTACAGTCAGTGGTTGTTTGTTTCTTTGCTAGTGTTTAGAAGAGACCCTTTCTAATCTATTTGCCATACTTTGACCCGTCTGAGCGTGAAAGACAATTACTTTTTGTTAAAAAGTGGCACAATAAGAAGAAAATATCCTGAATGTGTCAATACAATATGAAGAATGGCACCAAAGCCGGACAATCCTGATAAACCAGGAGTGACATTTACCTCTCTGAATGAATTTCAGACAAAAGGTCAGATATTACTGCATCGCCTCTGGAATAAGGTTGGGGTAGGGGTCAGTTCAGGACATCTAAATAATATGGTCTCACCTGAACCAGAATCTCTACGTGTTTCAGGCTTTTTACCTCATGCAACACCACATTGGAAATGCTTTTTCCTCACCTCTCAGGTTTGCTCTCGGCTTCATGTGGGCTCAGCGCGCCCCAACAATGAGCTCATCTTTAACTCAGCATGCTCCATTCACAGTTCACTGTCATGTGGCTCTTGTTGGGAAGATGAGAAGGCTGGTTTGGGATGATCCTCTCATCAGGGGACGCTGTTATCAAACAGCTGCTGCTGTCAAAGGGAAAATGATAAATGAGAGGAAGTGATTGATTCCATTACATTCTCCTCCACACAGGAAAGAGAGCAGCCGGGGACAAACCACACTGGGAAGGTAATAATTGTAAGTTATTCAATAGTTAATTACACTCTTGTGGAAGATTCCCCTTCTTTTTTTA